TGCTGCTGTTTCCAGGATGCCAGCTTCTTCAGCTCCAAGTTTGGGCTATATTAGGCAAAAAGAAAACCCAGGGAACTCACCCCATGTCATTCCTTGAGTCCTGAGGTCCCTAGTCTTTATGCCTTTTCTCCACCTTTCAGAGTCTTCTTATGTTTTATTTTATATATAATGTTCAAGACTTTCAGTTGTTTTAGCAGGAGGAATAGGGCAATGTACATCTACTCCATCTTCCTGAAAGCAGAAGTCCCCACTTTTTAAACTGGTTCCTACTATGTCCAACCACACAAATTCCTGGAAAAATGAGGGTAGAGTCTGTGGAAGAGATTTTTCTTTATGTGATGCTTACATATTTGGACAAATAGGGACCACTCCACCATCCAAATGAGTTATGTGGCTAAGCCAGACATTTAAGAATGTCCAAATCATCTGTTAATTTAGGGAAGAACCTATGATACAAACTTGTGCATACCAAACACTTGAAATGCTTATGATTTTATAAATACTTATGAATTTAACAATTTTTCATTCAAAACTTTAAAATAATCATTAAGCCATGTTTACTTAGGGAATAGAAGTCTTTCACATACTCTGGTTTTTCCAAAGACACTAAATGGAACGATACAGCTAAACTCAATTTCAGACTTTTGAACACATTCTGTGATAATAAAGATATTTAAGTGTACTTACCTAATAGAATTAAAAATATACAAAGAAAAAATGGCCTATTACAGTGCCCACTGCACAGAGTAGGCAACTCAATAAATGTTATACGACAAAAGATACCAATAAAAAGATAGTGTCTAAAATTTACTGTTAAATAGAAATGCTCCTCCCTAGTTAATGTTAAACATGAGACCCTATCATTTTTGTTTAATTTGTGAAAATACTTTCATAGTTAACTGATAAAAATTATACTTCCAATTTTTATGTATCACTAGCATGTATTTAGGACTATCTCATTATAAAAATATATACTCAAATGTGCTTGGCAATAAGCAGATTCAAGGTTTCTTTGATTATGAAATTCAGAGAGACTGGTTTAGATAGCTCTAATCAATGCAAATAAAAGGTTCCAGTTACCTCACAAATCACTAGGAACAAATTTTTTTAGAAGGTTAGTAAAAGGAATTTTTCAGCTGATATTATTTTTTCAGGATTAAGGAGATATGTAAAACAAAAGTAAATTATAACACATATTTCAGTATTCTCACTCCCCCTCAACATCGTAAGGACATAAACAGTGATGTAACAAAGTAGAGATAATCCTTAAATCACCTTATTCTAGTGCAGAGCTTCCCAAAATACATTTCTCAGAATCCTAGTATCCCTTAAAATATTTACAAATATTCCACAGAGAAAGAAAATGTTAGGTTAAGCACAGTTAAGCAAATTTCTCTACTACAGGAATCCTCAGGGCATTTAAAATAAAATATGCACAGCGAACTTCCCAAAGAGGATTACAGTTGCACCATTTCCCAAATTTAATCAAAGAAGGCTTCTCTTAACCTTCTATTAAATCCTGTTGGAGATGAGTGTTAAACAGAACTCAGTCTGAGAGGTAAGAGAGCAGCAAAAGAGCCCTTAAATGTGGCCAGGTAAAATGAAGGCCAGAAATTTATTAAATAGCATAGCTAATAATGACTAAAAAATAATTCAATGAAATTATGAAAAGCTTTTTTAAAAACTGTACGCGATTCTAGCACTCATTAAAAAAGTAGTCTGCTATCAATCATGCTGAAAGGTGACCTTAAACATTTATTATGTCATAATGACAAATTAGCTAAATGCTATTTCCATTCATATTTTTATCTTAAATATTACTCTCAAGTTAATTTATTTGAACACAGAGATAAAACAACTCTAGGAATTGGATGTTTCAGACGAAGGTTAAATAAAAACTTTAATTTTTAATAGAACCTTGCACTTAACTGCTTGAAATTAAGCGTCACATGTTAACCTCACTGTATACACGTATCTATTATATTGTAGCTCACTGAAAGTACAGTAAACAGAACAAAGAATTATCAATGTTGTGTATGTACATACATGTTTATGTGTGTGCGTATATCCAGTAAGACAAATAGAGTCCGTGAATAAAAGTAGGAAAATAAATTTAAAAAGAGTTCAATTCAAATTAAGCCAAATATTATATGTCTGAATGAGATTCAACTAGATTTTTACAATTCACATTTATACCTAATTCTTTTTAAAACACATAGAACTAACAAAATACATAATGGCAAGCAGTGATATAAAACTAATTTTAGATGCTGTGTGATGATTTCTAGAGATTAAGAAATGTAGGTTATAGGTTTTGAATTCAGAAAATAATGGGAATTTACTTACCTCTAACCAAAGTTCTCTGAAGGTAGTATCCTCCTTAGAACCCCTATCTTGGGTAGTTCACCTGCTGTAATTTCCCTAAAGAGATTCCAGCAAAGTCTAGCAAGTTTTAAGTTCCCTTCTGCAAGCCCTATTAGCGCATGTGTGTTATATAAACTTGCTCACATACTGCTTCATAGCCGTAGCCTCCAATTCCCACTGAATCACCACCACCACTACTACCACCACAATCCATGTATCAATGGAGGACACTACCTTTGGAGAATTCCATTTGGAAATGTGTGTTTTTTTCTTTCACTTCTCCAAAAGTATCCTCCAAAGTGCCCTACTGTTGAATCTATAACGTACTTGAGGAGTGGTGGTAATCAGCAGGCAAGAAAATGAGGACACAGAGATTTAGCTAAGCAAATGGACTTGCTGACTACTCAAATACAATATTCCAACATAACAAAACAAATAACACTAGCTTCCTCAACACTCAATTAATATGTAAAAACACTAAACTGAACATATACGTGAAAAAGCTTTCATAAAAAATACTTTCATAACCAAAGCAGAAAACGTCTTTTTCACCTGGGACTACCAAATATTTCCCTAGTGTATTTTGCTAAAGAAGTGCCAATATTTAAAAATGAGTTAGGAAATAAGTCATTGAAAGACAAATGTTCGTAATTTTTTAGTATGCCACTCCTACCTTAAACTACAAGGAAAAAAAAAAGAGAGAGAGAGAAAGTAAAAATTGTTCAAACAAAAATGGAAAACAAAACGAGCCACTCACATGAAGGCCAATCTCATATACTTAGGATGGCAGTTTACAATGGGTACTATTAACAAAATTTTTCAAATCTATTCAGAAAACTGACTGAAACATAGTACAGGAAAGAAGACTCAATCTTATACTATCCAGAAAAGGTCTTCTACTTGGATTCCCACCGATTGATTCCACAACTTCTTATCGATTATTTCTTGATAGCGATATGAGAGTAGGAGAAAAAAGCAAAGGGAAACAACTGTCCTAGAGGCCAGAGGACCAAACCATATTTGAAGCACTATTTCAGAGGATAAAGTATGGAGTAGCTTTAAAAACACTGATTTTAGGGGCACCTGGGTGGCTCAGTCATTAAGCATCTGCCTTCGGCTCAGGTCATGATCCCAGGGTCCTGGGATCGAGCCCCGCATTGGGCTCCCTGCCCCGCGGGGAGTCTGCTTCTCTGCTTCTCCCTCTGACCCTCTTCCCTCTCGTGCTCTCTATCTCTCATTCTCTCTCTCTCAAATAAATAAAATCTTTAAGAAAAAAAAAAGAAAGAAAATGTATCTTTCTCACTTGCTGCTTTTAAGATATTTCTTTGTCTTCAGTTTTCAGAAGTGTGACTATAACTGGACTTGATGT